GTGCGAAACGTCAGGTCCTACAATACCAAAACCACGGCTACACAACCCGGAAAATCTACAACAGCTAATGATCTAAAGATACCTACATAGATCTGGGGATCCCAGATCACCGCAGACTGTGACAACAGCCATGAAGTTAAAAGACGCCTGCTCCTTGGGAGGAAAGCGATGGCGAACCTAAACAGCATGATAAAAAGTAGAGACATCACCCTGCCAACAAAAGTCCGCATGGTCAAAGCAATGGTATTCCCAGTAGTCATGTATGGCTGCGAGAGTTGGACTATAAGGAAGGCCGAAAGATCAACAACCTCAGATATGCAGACTATAAGGAAGGCCGAGCGCCGAAGAATAGATTCTTTTGAACTATGGTGCTGGAGAAGACTCTTGAGAGTCCCTTGGACTGCAAGAAGATCAAATCAGTCAATCTTAAAAGAAATCAACCCTGACTGTTCCCTGGAAGGCCAGATAATGAAACTGAAGCTCAAATACTTTGGCCACCAAATGAGAAGGGAGCACTCACTGGAGAAGACCCTGATGCTGGGAAAGATTGAAGGTCAAAGAAGACGGGGACGGCAAAGGATGAGATGGTTAGACAGTGTCCTAGATGCAACGAACATGAAATTGAGCCAACTTCAGAGGACAGCGGAAGACAGGAGGGCCTGGCGGGAGCTGGTCCGTGGGGTCCCGAAGAGTCGGACTCGACTGTACGACTGAACAACAACAATCCAGTTTTATTGCATTGTAGTTACATTGGTCTGAATGAGCAGAATGATGTCTGAGTCCAGGAACACCTTTAAAACCAATAAAGTTTAATTCTGGGTATAAGCTTTCATGTGAATGCACACGTCTTCAGATATACTGAAAGAGAAGTCACTCACCATTACATATTGATAGAGGGTGGGGAGGGCATTGCCACAACGGGCTAATCTTGATGCTCATTTGCCCTTCCTTGCAAAAAGCTATATATAATGGTTGATGGCTTCCATTTCAATGTATCCAAAGAAGTGTGCGTGCACACAAAAGCTTATAACCAGAATAAAACTGTGTTGGTCTTCAAGGTGCCGATGGACTTAAACTTTGTTCTGCATTGTTGATTGTGTGTATTTTATACTCTTTATCGTGCTGTTTTATAATTCTCTCATTTGCCCTGATCCTCAGCATGAGAGGCAGAAGAAAGTAAATAAATATCATACATACTTGGGTGGACCTGCTCTAAAAATTAAATGTTTTAGGAACTTCACTTTAACCCATGCACAAATAATGATCTAATGCATTCCTTTCCTATTCTCCTACCTAGAAGAAAATGGTACACAAGCAGGCGCAGAAGTGGGAAACAGAGGAAAAAACGACAAAGAACTCCTAGAAGGAAACTCTCGGGAGTAGGAATTGGCACGAACCCCGTCACGAACCTAAGTTCGTCACAAAAACTGTCCAGTTCATGGTTTGTGAGCCACGGTTCGTGCAATCACATCTCCCACAAACCTCCCATGTTTTTTTACAGAGGTTTGCAGGTGCCTACCTCCTTTACTCTGGTCTGGTTCGACCTCACCTAGAATATTGTGTTCAATTTTGGGCACCACAATTTAAGAAGGATACAGACAAGCTGGAACGTGTCCAGAGAAGGGCAAAGAAGATGGGGAGGGGTCTGGAGACCAAGCCCTATGAGGAAAGGTTGAAGGAGCTGGGTATGTTTAGCTTGGAGAGGAGACAACTGAGAGGTGATATGATCACCATCTTCAAGTACTTGAAGGGCTGTCATATAGAGAGGATGGTGCAGAGTTGTTTTCTGTTGCCCCAGAAGGTTGGACCAGAATCATCTTTTTGTTCTTCCAGCAGTTACAGCGTTCTTGATTTGGTTTAATCGTACCCCTCTGGTCTTCTAAGTGAGGACCGCACATGGCTTACAACATCATTCTCCCCTCCCTCATTTTATCCTCACAAACGTCACCCAGTAAGGTAGGTCAGGGCTGAAAGAGAATGACTTAACCAAGGTCACCCAGCAAGCTTCCATGGCAAGTGGGGATTTGGACCTATCCTACCCCAACACGCCGCCATTTTCACAGATGCGGAAGAATGCACTTTCAATCCACTTTGCAAATGGATTTTCCTGCGTGAAACAGCAAAACACGCTTTCGAGTGTGCAAGTGGGTTGAAAGCGCATTCTTCAGTGGGTGTGAAACCACCCCGTCTAGCCACTACATCAAGCTGGCTCTTCAAGAACATGCATTCTTATGCACTGATCTGGATGGCCCGGTCCAGCCCGATCTTGTCAGATCTCAGAAGCTAAGCAGGATCAGCCCTGGTTAGTACTTGGATGGGAGACCACCCAGGAACTCCAGGGTTGCTGTGCAAAGACAGGCAGAGGCACCTTCCACCGCCACACCAGTGCTCACAGTTTTTTACCCTCCGGCTCACACATTTTTGTCTTGGCTCGGGAAGGAGGGCTCCCAAGCAAACTAATTTATGCAGCAGCCAAATCGCTCGCTCCCAACTTTAATGCCAGGAGCTCACAGAGTAGACTCTTTGCGCACAAGACTCCACAGCGTAGAGGGGGCATTGCACCACACATTGTTATAGGCAAATCTGTAACCTGTTATTTTGTACCCCATTTCCGGGTCGGTAAAAACGGCAGGAAGTGCTTGCTTTGAACTTTTCCTGGATCCGCCGTCCTTTAATATCCTTTCATTCTTTTCTTCGCTAACCTCTGATGACTTTTCATGCGGCCGTCTTCCTTCCTCACGTTTCTGTTCTGGGCCAAAGGCTTCTTGGTTTACTTTGGGCCCATTCTCTGCTCTCAGATGGGAAGGTGAGGAGTACACCGAGCCCTTAGAGTGGCTGGAAAGAGCCGGCTCCTCTCTAGGAGAGTTCCTTTCCGCTAGCAAAATGTAGGGCTCGGTTTTTGAGATCTCTTGTACAGAAACTGTGCTGTCCGATTTATCCAGTTGACTTTTCCCTTTTAATTTCAGTAAACTGGAAGAGGCATTTATGACTTTCCCCGGGAAGCAATTAGTCTTTAAAGCGCCGCCGTCCTCCCCGCCGCCGTCACAACTCCCGCAACACACACAGGAATTGACAAGGCAATTTGTGGCAGCCAAGCTGGGCTGCTGTGACTCTCCCTCCTCATCGGCCAAATAATGCGAGTCCCCGGCAGAGCAAGTCTTCACTACTTTAGATGATTCTGAGGATTCCGAAGGGGGAGATTTTGGATTAAATATAACTGTAGCAGAGATCTTCATCCCTCCAGTCCGGTGAGCGATCAGTTCTGCCGTTTCCACGTCGTGAGCGTACGCATCCCAGGCATTGAGGTACAAATGAGGATTGGGGCCTTCAAAACAACTGCAGGAGTTTTGAAGTGAGGTATCGGCCGGCGGCTTGCCTTCTTCAGTGTTGTTGTTGTCGAGATCGCCCTCTCCTTTCCCCGTGAAAAGCGGGCCTTGCTCAGTTGGGTGACCGCATTTGCACAACAGGGGGTCGCCACACGAAGCCCTGCGCTTCGAAGCGTGACAGGAATCACAGAACGCGTCGCTGGGTGAACCCGTCCCAGAGAGAACTTCTATCACTCCGTCGAGGTCATCGATGAGGAACACGCTCTCCTCTTCGTTACGCGAGTTGTTCAGGAGAACCATATCTGGAGAGTCCCTTCGGCTGCTGCCTGCGTTCCTCGCGCTAGGTCTGCAAACGGGAGACCGGCAGTCCCTTGGCGGCGAGAGCAAGGAGGACATCTCATCCCCCGCTTTGTGAACCATTCTACTCAGTTGCTCCAGCTCCTGCTCGTCATACTGTATGGAACAGGCAAGCTCCACTTCGGTATTTGGAGATTTTTCCGGAACCTCTTCAGATGGTAAAGCCGCCATAAAGTTTGGGATGATGACAGGTGGCACTTGAGGATCTGCTCTCTCAGGAAAGTCAAAATCCTGGGATATACAGAGGTTACACTCCAGAGTATACAGCTCCTCATCGGTGAGAGTCTGTAGTAGATCCCTAGGAAGTGAGCAAACAATGCAGAATGTTGTGAGATCGACATGAGAACTCATATTGTTCACAACTCTTTAGCCACAACGTGAAAGCAGGCAGAGAGAGCGCATCAACTGTATTTCGACAGCTTTTAAAGTTTCAACTCATAAGGTACATGAGACACGCTAGGAAAAGCTTAAGGTGGCAACGTGAGATGGACGGACTCAATCAAGGAATCTGCAGATCTCCGTTCCCAAGACCTGAGCGAGGCTGTTGAAGGCAGGACCTTCTGGAGACTTAAAGTAGATGGTCACAGCCAAGACGTCCTTCAAAAAAGGATCCCAATAAAGGAAAACTGTATCCTGACTGCGCTCAATTAATGTTTAAATATTAAAGCGAACAGAATACAAAAGTTATTCATGAAGTACAGAATACATAAGATAAGTACAAAATATATAAAGGTATTCAACAGTTATTAATTATTGTTATAGGTTGTTAAGGAAGCCCAAGTGGAGGGGATAAGGCAAGCAGTTTTTAAAAATACACTGGGAATGAAGAGAGACAGAGAGACTAAAACCAACACTGTGGGGACAGCTGCTGCTGAAACATTAGTTTAATCTGCACAGCCCAGCAGAATGCCAGTGGCCAATCAGAAGCCTGGCTGGGCAAGAGCCTTGTCATCAGTGTTCCCTCTAAGCTGAGTTAGTGTGAGCTAGCTCACAGTTTTTCAGCCTCCAGCTCACAGATTTTTGTCTTTGCTCAGGAAGGGTGACTCCAGAGACAATTAATTTATGCAGTAGCCAAATCGCTCGCTCACAACTTTAATGCCAGTAGCTCACAGAGTAGAGTTTTTGCTCACAAGATTCCACAGCTTAGAGGGAACATTGCTTGTCATGTTCACTTTGTAAAAGTACTTGGCCAGCACCAGGAAAGGTGTCAGTGTGCGCCTGTGGAGCTTAGGGGACCCCTGATTTGATACATGAAGAGGTCACAGCAAACCTCCGCCCATGACAGGCAGGAAGGGCGCGTTGTTGCTTAAGCACCACCTTCGGCCTCCCTCTGTCCAGAGAGCAAGTGAAGGCATCTTAGCTTTGTGAACATTCAGACCAATTTGCCGTTATGCAGGAGGTCTAGGGATACTGGAGTCTGTTTCCTCCCCACAAACTGGGATGCCAAACCGGGATTAAACCACGGTTCAGAATTCCTGTTCATGGGGAAGAAGCTATTTGCCCAGACACTCACATTCAAATGGCAAACTGGAGTTTTATGATTTCGGAAATCAGGAAGTCTTTGCCAGGACTCCACACAGGGCAGAAGGGACTGGGTGGATGCGGAACAACCCATGCTTGTGCCTGTTGTGATGCCGGAATGTAGCCAGGGCCTCAGTGCTGACACTGCATGAAACCATGGGCTCAGGTTAGTCTATCTTAGGGAGGCAGTAGGTTGTCAGGTAGCCCTGTCATAGGTCTGGGATGTGGGGGGGGGGGGGTGCCCTCCCGTTTTCTGTCTCAGCTCCCCCTGGCTCACCAACTGTTTGCTATCTTATGCTTGACCTTGTAGATGCTCCAGCTGCAGGTTTACTCGGCTGGAAAAGTTAACGGTATTACAATACTATTTGCCCACGGAAGGCTCTTCTTGAAATTGTAGCTATAATGATTGTTGAATCATCAGTGAGATCCGTGAAATTTTGATATGTTACCAGTTGAAATGAATTCTTGAGAGCCACTACATGTCATTCATCTTTGTTCAGAAGAAGATTATTGTCGAAACGGCAGGACATTCCGGAGACCACCGTCTACACTTACTATTGTATCATATTAATTGTACACTATTTTGTATATTATAATTTTGAATATTTTTCAATGAAATATTGTTTAGCGTTAGTTGTCACAGTGACTGTGTCCATCTACTCAAATTGATTCTAGTATAAGTCAGAGACCCTTGTATAGGCGGCCATTCCTGACACAAGGTGTAAATGTGTCTCTAGTACTGTTTAGCGTTAGTTGTCACAGTGACTGTGTCCATCTACTCAAATTGATTCTAGTATAAGTCAGAGGCCCTTGTATAGGCGGCCATTCCTGACACAAGGTGTAAATGGGTCTCTAGTACTGGATCTACCAATAAACAGTTACCTTCTTATGAAGCTCTGTGTTGTGTAACCTGACTAAAGACCCTGACAGGTTAGGGTTAGTAAGAGGATCAAAGGCGTATCTGAGACACTAGCTAGCATTGTCTTCAGGGTCTGAGTCAAGGGGTGGCCAGATTGGGGAAGTATAAGGGCTGAATGGGTAAGGACCATGCTCCCAGGCTCCATGTCAGCGTGGTGAAGGCGACAGCGAAATGATCAGGGATCCCCCGTGTTTCGTGAGCCTCTCCCAGATAAAACCACTCCGTCTCTTACACCGGGTGAAACAGCCCGTCTTGGGATTCTTACGAGAAGCGCACCACAGACTAAGTGTGAAAACCGTTATGCTTGCCAAGCAGAATAAGTTGCTTAACCCTTCTATGGGAGAGACAATAAACTTATTACTTTGCTGGTAAAATAAAGGATCTGGGAGAGTCGAGACAGAGGAAGAGAGAGAGAGAGAATGAATGGGAACACAGCATTATGACCAAGCGACTTGCCTTATCTTCCTTAGTAACGTGTGGAAGGGTCTGAAAAGCTCAGACATCTCTTCTTGCTTACGGTCGAGATTCAGAGGTCCTTCCGAGTAAACAACAAGCCCGCTGCAATTCCAAAGGCAAAAGGAAAAGTCAAGCTCATGTTGTATGTGTTTAAACCACCGGTGCTCCACAGGCCCTCTTCCTCCTTGATGCCACCACAGACGTTGATAGGGCAGAACAACCCGTGAGCAAATATAGGCCAGCAGTTCTTGAACTGATTCAGGTGGGTAAGAACATAAGAACATAAGAGAAGTCAATGTTGGATCAGGCCAATGGCCCATCCGGTCCAACACTCTGTCACACAGTGGCCAAAAATACCAGAGGCCCTCAGGAGGTCCAGCAGTGGGGCCAGGACACTAGGAGCCCTCACACTATTGACCCCCCCCCAAGTACCAAGAATACAGAGCATCCCTTGCTCCAGACTGAGAGTTCATATAAGAACATAAGAGAAGCCAATGTTGGACCAGGCCAATGGCCCATCCAGTCTGTGTCACACAGTGGCCAAATATACCAGGTGCTATCAGGAGGTCCAGCAGTGGGGCCAGGACACTAGGAGCCCTCACACTATTGA